CAGCCTTTGTGGGGGACTTGAATGAATTAGTGTCATTGTAAAGCCGCAATATTCTAGAAATCACAGATTTGGAATGACCAGCTTTTCTTGCAATGGCTGAAAGGGTCATCCTTTATCTGGGCAACCTCCTGTCGCAGAGTTTCAGTCACGTTAGAGCGGACCGCCATCTTGCAATCACAGTGAAAATGAGAGGAATGCTGCCAGTTAAATAAATTTATGAAATATGCTTAAAAATTGCCCTTCTACTCCTGTTAGGATATCTTCAAATTTTTGTATTGAACCAAAAGCATTTTCTTTGAAAATTAACGTTGGCATATAAGGCATTTAAAATAAGCATTGAAAAAAATTATGTTATGCATTTCATATTTATATGATTAGATACCTGAAGTTTATCTCTTAAAGAGATAGTTCTCCCAAAAAATTAAACTTTTTATTTTATAAATTTTTTTTTAAACCTGAATGACTTATTTTGTTCTGTGGAATGACAAAAAGAGACATTTATAGCTAGGGTTTGCACCTTATTTGACAAAAAAACTATTAAACTGTTTAATGAATTGACTTTATTAGACAGCATTTTTGCATTTAAATCATAAAATACAGAATCAAAAAATTATGTTATGCATTTCATATTTATATGATTAGATACCTGAAGTTTATCTCTTAAAGAGATAGTTCTCCAAAAAAATTAAACTTTTTATTTTATAAAAATGTTTTTAAACCTGAATGACTTATTTTGTTCTGTGGAATGACAAAAAGAGACATTTATAGCTAGGGTTTGCACCTTATTTGACAAAAAAACTATTAAACTATTAAACTATTGACTTTATTAGACAGCATTTTTGCATTTAAATCATAAAATACAGAATCCTCAAAATACAAAATATAAAAAAATAAAAAAAAATAAAAAGATTTTATAGGGTCCTAAATTAATTTGTGGCGTTTACTTACTAGCAAATAAATTTTACTTACAAGTGAATAAATAAGTTATATTCACATTTAATCACAAACATGTGGAATGCATTTCCTTCTGCTTTTAATGGTATAAAACACATATTGTAATATAAGTGATAAATATCAATAAGTTTATGAGATTTGTAAATTATTCCATTCCTTTTTTACTCACAATTTGTACAGTGTCCCAACTTTTTTGGAATTGGGTTTGTATATGTAAAAAAAAAAAATCACCCAGCCCTATTTACAGCAGAAAGTCCAAACTGCTACTTTCCATACAATGAAAGTAAAGGGTGATTATGGCTTTCAAGCAATATTTTCAGTAGGCCTACAAAATAACCTAAAAAGCTATCACTTGGCATCAGAAGACTTGGAATACAGTGCACAAGTCATAAGGACTAGTGTTATGATGTTTTCATGCAAATTTTTGTCTAGTTTTGGGTCAACCCCTAGTCACAAAGCAGCATGAACATTCTTCAAAGCATCCTCTTTTGTGTTCCACAGAACAAAGTCATACAGGTTTGGAACGGGTGTGCCTCACACATCCTGAAAAGTGAAGCTGCGGGCTCTTTGGTCGCCCCATGGTGGCTGGCTGCAGTACAGGTCATAAACCCCACCCTCTCCATGTAAACGAACGGGACTTGAGTCAAAATAAATAAATAAATTACGCTTCCAATACAATTTTCCGAAAGATGGTTTTGGTCTTTTAAGGTATTTGTTATCACGCTGATATATGTTCAGTTGTTCGTTTTTGTGAAAAGTTTGATTTTAGCTAGTAAGTTGATGCTATAAAAACGGGCTGTGTAGTTATGGTTGATTGGGTCTGCGGGAGTTTGGGCAGGAGTTTGATACCGCAGCTCCACCTCACGACACTACTGCGCAGACTCTGGCTCCAAACGAATCTCGACTGCGCAGACTCGGGCTCCAAATGGCATATTTACTCAAGATGGCAGCGGCCATACTGAGATGCTTTGGCTTCCCTTTTCTATAGTGGAAGGAATAGGAGACACGTCGTCCATCTTTTTTTACAGTCTATGGTTTGGAATGAGACAATGATCTCAAAATGATGCCATTTATGGGCGAGACACAATTCCGGCACCTAATCAATATAAATATGAAATGCATATATTTGTTGTAATAAGTGCCTGAGGTGTGTAATATTGAAGCCTGAAGTTGAAATTCATTTTATATTCCTGCGCATTTCCCTCCATGTGATGTTTTGCATTTGATTGTAAAGTGTGACGCATAATCACGGCAGCAGTGAAGGCACCATCACAAGCCCCTCAGCTCAGAATTACCATTCTACTGTCAGTTCATTTCTCATCTGTTCCTCCACCCAAAGCTGTCCTGTCATCCAGCAGATTCGGGCCACCAGCAACACTCATCTCATTACCAAAGTACACTGTGCCTCTGTGGGATTCTGGCCCTGTCTCTGTCTCCTCTCTCAAACACACATATACACTCAAGTTTTTTTTTCTCCCCGAACTTAAAAAGTATCGAGTCTCCCAGGAAGTACTGACAGCTTGAGGCGACAACCGGATGAAGTGACAGTAGGAAGCCACTCATTATGATCACCTCTTCCTATTTCTCTTTTTCATTTCCCCCTTTTTTCCTCTCTCCTGCATGCTCATGTCTGCTTGCTCTGCTTCAAAAAACATGACATCTAGCATCTCTAACTACTGCTGTGTAACAACTGGACCGTGTCTTTTTTTGATTTGTCAAATCAAAGAAAATAATGTGCAAGAACATGTAACATTCCTCTTGAGGTCTTCACTTTTTCTTTTTTAATAAAAAATATAATATACTAGTTCTGATTACGTCTAAAGCCACAAGCAAATGACTGATTTACTCCGGCTAGTTAAAGTAACAGATATTGGCATGGGCTTTATGCTGAATTCCATCCCGAGTGAAACCAGCTGTAGGCAGCTTAACGTAAGGATCGTCTAACTTCAGGTTGATCTGGCACAGTTTCATTTGCATGAATCATCATTACTGCTGTCTGTAATTGTTATCAGAGCCAGAGCATGCAACCCTCATTTAGATAAGACCTTTTTTTTTTTTTAAGAAATCAGCACGTGACCAGTGTGCTGGTTCCACCCTCTTATGTATTTAATAAGCATTTGACATTATTGAACAAATATGGATTGTAATTCAGTCAAGGACCGTGTCTTTTTTTGATTTGTCAAATCAAAGAAAATAATGTGCAAGAACATGTAACATTCCTCTTGAGGTCTTCACTTTTTCTTTTTTAATAAAAAATATAATATACTAGTTCTGATTACGTCTAAAGCCACAAGCAAATGACTGATTTACTCCGGCTAGTTAAAGTAACAGATATTGACATGGGCTTTATGCTGAATTCCATCCCGAGTGAAACCAGCTGTAGGCAGCTTAACGTAAGGATCGTCTAACTTCAGGTTGATCTGGCAGTTTCATTTGCATGAATCATCATTACTGCTGTCTGTAATTGTTATCAGAGCCAGAGCATGCAACCCTCATTTAGATAAGACCTTCTTTTTTTTTTAAGAAATCAGCACGTGACCAGTGTGCTGGTTCCACCCTCTTATGTATTTAATAAGCATTTGACATTATTGAACAAATATGGATTGTAATTCAGTCAGTTTTGGGAACCATTTCAAATAATGGAAAACAAAACGGAAAACAAAAAAAAAAGAAAAAAAAAGAAAAGAAATAAAAACAAACCAAAAAAAAAAAAAGATAAGAGCATAAAAGAGAACAGGAACATCACAGCCGTTAAGGAAACATTCAAACTATTCATCATTAGCATCTTAATAAACCAGAGAAGTAATTGACGGGTTACAGTTGCGTCATGTCAACTACAATGGCACCGAATGAATGATTCTCTTGTAGCTTTTTTACAGCTTCTTGCAACATCAACATGCCTATTTTTTCTATCTACCTATATGTAGTAGTGTACTTAAAAGTGGCAGTTTGTGTTTTTTGTAGTATTTAATAGTTTTTTATGAACCTCCTAATATACATAATTTGGCCCTTGAGGGTTTATACAGTATGACGTCCGTCTTTTATTAAGTTTAAATTTTATTATTTGACAATCTGCTACCAAACACATTTGTTATAGCAACATTTATACTACATACATGGCAATCTATGTAACGTCACAGCAAATTATGGTTGAAAAAGAAAAGAAAAAACAAACATTGGACAACGAAAGAACCTACAGCGTCAAAAGAGGTGGAGTGGAAATTATCACAAATTTTGGCACGGGAAAAAATCTGTACACGATTCTACAGTCTGGCGGAGATGAGACTGTGCAATAGAAAAGAAGGGCTTGAGACGAAATTCTACTGAAGACATGGCACCCACCGTCCCCATTTCAAGTTTCCTTTTCACCTATTGTAAAATGGCTTATAGATATGTTTCTAGAAATTAAGTTGTGCATACGTCTGTTTGTTGTTTAGTTTTGCTTTTTTTTGCGTTTTTATTTTTATTTTTTTGGAGAATCTACACTGTAGTTTAGGTGGAATCCTGGCTTTCAACAAAATAACAAAAAAATTAAGATAAAAATTAAATTCATGTTAAAACAATAAAACATTTGAAACTTCAAAACCTCCTTGTAAAAATGGATCATTTATATATATATATATATATATATATATATATATATATATATATATATATATATTTCTCACATTAAAAAAAAAAA